GCATCACTTCGATTTTTACACCTTTTAAAACGGGTACTTCGCACTTCGTTTTTTACCCATGTGGAGGCCCAGTTAACACTGTGACAATAGGACAGTTTAAAAACAGATCCCTTCTCATCTACTCACACATCAGATCGCCACAACTTACACACCAAATTGTAAAATCATCACAATCGTACAACTACACAGTATTGTTGTGGAACTCTTTGCATTGTTCTATACAGATTCTACTCCTAGCTAAACAGTGGTAATGGAATGATTTGTTCATTGCTTGATTTGCCTTCGCGCCAAAGGTATCTCTAAATGCAACTTTTTCGTCAGAAACGGCGTTTTAATATTAATATATATGTAATTTCTTTTGGCTAACCTACCAAACTTGACAGCCAGGTCACGCCTGTAGATTGGTGAAAACATCCTGTTCTGCCGTTGCCATGGCAACGCCCATAAACCTGAATTCGTGGTCGTGGCCGTGTCCAAATCTCATTCAGTTGTGTTTGAATGTGTGCTCAAAGTTACTATTTTGTTTTTGAGTCGATGCCAGTGCGTCCACTGGGCCGACACTATGCATTATACCCAAGAACAAAACACTTAGTTTATCAATGGTTCATATGTTAAAGTCTATAAAACATTTCATTTTACTTGGAGTATTGGAGTTGAACATCCAAGTCCATCATGTTCAGGTCTAACAAGCAAGTTCATTAAGTAATTTTCTGAAGTCGGTCCAATGTAAGTATTGCCAGGCTTGCCTATATGCCTGTACGCATTCAATTATCTGTTATCGTTTTGGCCTGTGATAGTCCCGACTTGATAGGCTGGTCACGCCTAACACTCTAGGTATGTCAGAAAAAATTCAAAAAATCCTGTCCTAACATTGTCATGGCAACTGGTAACAAAATGATTGTTTGCGTCCCACAGCGAATCGGCTTTATAATTATAGTACATATTTGTTTAATAAAAACGATCCAGTCATGCAGTAAGTCCCAACGTTACATTCCAACAACGACGTACTCACCAACTTCCAATTTCATGACATGGCGGAAGCTTGTTATTGACTTTAACAATTGGTTCTGTTACTTACCGGCTAGCTGTACTCCTTGGACAAAAACTATCACCATAATGACGATAGCGATAGACGTTGCTAATAGTGATATTGCCATGACAACTGTCGTGTACACATCACACTTTTAGGTAGATCAGTACCGATGTTTGAAATTGAATACGTATTTGATTCTTCCCGTATACTGAAACACCTCCCTCTTCGATGGTATGATCGAGTATGAATAAGACACCCGTTTTATTAACCTGACGGGTAACAGGTCACACGGTGGGCTTGATCTGAAGCGAATCGCCAATCCTCTTATTGTCAGGTGGAAGAGCTGTAAAACCAAAGCATTGAACTTCGTGTAGCATTGGACAACGCAACTGTATGCAATGAATATAGTTTTGATTCACTCTACTGTTCATTGAAATGGTAATCCTCCGAATAAAATTGGGTAAATTGTCCACCAGTGTCTGTAAATGCGACACGGGTACCGGCAAGCATGGCGAAGTTACACTTTTTTTCATATGATTTTGGAAATCCTTGAGTATATTGCATGTGCCATGATTGATATCACAATTATCAAAAACATAAGACTGTGGGAAACACGATTCCATCGGTGAAAAGGTTAGAGAAACATAATTTTCTGACAATAGCCCATTGAATCACTCTCACGGGACATTGTTCAATGTTTTCTATATGTGATACATAGATGCTTGCTCAAGCCGTTCCGTTCTGCTTGGTTTTCCAATGACAATTCAATTCAATTCCTTTATTTAAGGTCGATTTTACCAATTTAGTCAGAGACTAACATCACTGTCTATCGAAACACATTACAATACTAAACAATTTAAAACAATAAATACATCGAGTTCAATATAAATACAATAAAATTAAAAATTACAACTTCCAGTCCATAATTGTACAATTTTTATGAAAAATGACAAATTTTTACATTCTTTCATATATGATGGCAGCGAATTCCAAACTTTCGTACCGTAAGAATTGAGAAACATTTTAATCCATATCTCGTTGTTCTAGAATCTGTAACGCATGCGCACAACTGTGACTTATATCGTCAATTATAACTCACATGTTTCATATTTAAATAAATCCACATAAAAGATGTTGATAGTTTATGTATAGACGTGAGTGTAGTTAATACTGCTTTGTGTAATAATCAACTATAACTAGGAATGAAAGTCGTTGTATACAAATTTCAAATTAGATAACCACTTCCACAAAAACTCAAAATAAGGAAAAAATAATTAAAATATGATTTTTAGCTAGCATGTTATTTTAGCTAATTTAGCTAATCTGTAATTTTGCTAATTCAAGATGTAGCTAATTTAACAGAAAGTATATCCTCACAGGGAGATAGTCGACACTTTAGCTAAATTAAGATCCTGTTAATTCATGCTAAGAGTCAAATCCGCTAAAATTGCATGCAGCTATTTCAACATGTTCTACAGCATATTCACCCCTAGTAAATTGACACAATTTTCGGAAACAATAATATTACCAACGATGTCAAAACTTTTTCCGTTATCTGAAACTTTAAATACGATATAGCTTGCATGTTGTTTTCAGGAAACCACCTAATAGTTGTGATTAAACTCCCAAGTAAGACGATCAATCATCTTTTATTTCGTATTGCATACGGCCGACAAAGTATTATCATCGACATAATCAATAAAGACACCATACTAAGGGTGAAATGAAGGTAGTTCAAAAATGCATTGAACAAAGCTGGCAAATAAGGAACGCCTTTCAATAGGTCTTACCGTTCACTGGCACATCCAGATAAGTTATCGCGCTGCTTATGGGACGTTAAATAGTGTCACAAATAAGCATATGCCCGTGGCTTAGCAACGGTTAAAGGGCGGTAGTCGTCACGCCGCGTCCTGTTCGATACGGGACTCATAGCGACGTATACAACGCGTGTAAAATACATTGTTTATTTACATGAAATTCGAACACGCGCAGCGCGACGACCACCGCGCTTTAAACTACGCGATAGACAATCAAACCTGCACACTTCTTTTGTTCTAAGGCGAGCTACAAGTGATTATAAGACGTAGACGAATATGTTTACAGCTGTATCACCTCCTATAAGCTGACATTCTTGGATCTAATATGTGGTCAATAAAAGGTAATTATGCATAACTGTGAGCACACATTGCAGTGGCTGGTGGCGAGTCGCAATCCCTTGCGGACTAGAACTGATTAGAAAGAAGTGTCATCTCTCTGTCAAATATACATCAATGCAATGCCACATTCAGGATGTTTGACCAATACGTCCAAGGGTAGACTTAAAAAACGAATACCTTCCTCTGTTGTCAGTAATCGACATAGAGAGCGCCACTTATACTAAAAAGAATATTTGCTAGGAATCGATTACACCGGCTTGCCATGTGTTGGGGGCTTAGTACGTTGTTTGTATATCCCTGTCGAGTTCTCATGTATATAGAATTATCGACTGATCAGAAGTAGACATATCTATTTGATCGACGAGACTGGTGACAGCCATTTATATCACGTGATAAGTCACGTGATATTGTTACTCTTGTCACTATTCTGAACAAGTAGGCATGCAAGGCATGATGGGACATATTCATTTCGTTCGCGTGTAACTAGGAGTGTTTCAATAATAACGATTTGTTCAATGTGTAGGAACAGTGCGTTATTCATAGCCAACCAATGACATAAACATACACAATTTTATTTTATGATTGTTTTATTTTCATAATGCCCAATATAAATTGTATGAGATATAAAAAAAAACTTTATAAAAGTTTCATCTTATAATTACAGTAATTAATATAATAAATAGAAAGAGTGAGTGAATGTAATGTACAACAATATGAATCGTTATATGTCCTGTATGGAATCTTAGCAATTTGGAGAACAGAAAACCGAGTCGCTGATTAGAACTCATGTATGTGTATTTTAAAAATGAGATACATGTAATAGTGTATACGGAAACATGCAAATTGAATTCGACATGTCAAGTATCATAATTCCATTTTTGACTACGAAACAACGATGTCCGTGACGACACCTTCGAGTTGCGCGTATTGGGATATATTTCACGCCCAGCTCACGACGTAACTGTACTTTAACGCTCCGTCCAGCGGAATTTATTATAAAATTGTAATTTAGGTAATAATTACGTCACAGAGATTATGTACGATCTCTCAAATGCAATATGTCATTTTATGCTAATTTTCTACGTCTTCGATCACCATGGTTCGTATAGCTTGGACTTTATTGTCAGATCTCGTCTGCTTCTTTTTGAGGGTGAAGAGTAGGACGCCTGCAGTCACGACCATCACTCCGACTAAACTCCCAACAACCAGTCCGATAATCATGTATATATCCGTACCTAGGAAGAAATAGGGGAGTAAATTTATAAAATAATACAAATGCCATTATTATTCTAGAATGACTGTGTCATTTGAACCACACATATTCTCTTATTTATATCATCAACACATACTGTTCGATTCAATTAGTGTCATTGTCTGTGCATAGGTGTATTATCACACGCCACCATTCGGTAAACACGAATTGCCTTTTGTTTGTTCCAAAGTTTAGATTAAAAAGCAATGGTGGGCGATGGTCTGTTTACCTGAGCTCGTCAATGACGGTTCTGTTGTGAGTTCTAATATTATCAATGATAGTTTTGGAGATGCATCGGTGCTCTCATCATCGTTGGTGATTTCTGTTACTCCAGATAAATTAGTTGGCGAAGAAGTTGGCGTAGATTGCGTACTAATTCCTATGGGTTGTGCTAATATAGAGGGCAGCACTGTAAGGTAACACATTACATATACGTCAGTAGTGGGTTAATTTGTCTTTTAAACTACTGTGGCAACATATTCATGGTGACGTAATTCACTATAATAGAATGAATCTGGGTTTAATGCATTGACAATTTGCATTCGAAATCTAACGCTGACTTTGCTTCCACATATATTATAGATCGAAGACGAATTTCATTTCCTGTCGATATGTCCGACTGTTGCATGAAGGTTTCAGAAATTCACCTCTTTCCTTAATTGCACCTTTCTCCGGCATTTGAATGAAAATTTATTTTATTACTTATGAATGAAAATCAGGAGTAAACTCACTCCTTTGACACATGTCTGTATCCTCAGTTATCAGATGTGATTATTTAAGCAATTCATAAGCAGTGTACATTTAGGCTAAAGGCGCAAAGTGCGAAATAAATCTATATATTCATCATGGCAATGACAATCAAGAAGACCGCATTCATAGTGTGCATGTAGATTAGTTTACTTATTTGTTTATCTGAAGATATTTTTTTACTCAGATGGCTACTGATTCTGGCAAATGATGGGAATTATTGACACGCCGCTATGTCATACTGTCTTACCTCCTCGTATTCCGCAATCAGTGCAGTCAGTTCCCAAATAACACTCGTAATTTGTACTGAATAGACCACCATCTTCACAAGAGCTGTCATTTGCCCCACTGCATGAATCGTCACATAACGGTGCTGTAAGATAATGGCATATTAGCTTTAGCAAAAAGTGTACAACTACTAGTATATTGTACTATCGTTTTTTTAAACTGCGAGGACGCACTTCGACAGCGTCAAGAGGAAAGCCGGACAATATAACGGCCGGTAGTGCCACATCAGCGCCATCACAGTTACTTTGTACGTGACAAAGGGCAGTACATTCTCATTCCCAGAGTTCCCTGCGGCTAGAACATCGAAAGTATCTCTGCCACTTTTATCACGCGTATTCTTGGTATGTTCTTGTTATGGGGGGGGGGGGGTCTCATGTTGATTCCTTCTTACTGGTAAACACGTTTAAAACTATTTCATTGATAAGCTTATAATGATTTTTTTATAAACATACTGTAAGGGGTAAAATAGTTATAATTTACAAAAGAAAGGTACTTCATCGCGGAATAACGGTCACTAAGGTATTACTCGGCCCATCAAGCTAACGACTCTTGTCGATTCCCAGGCGAGGAAATATAAACAAACAAAACATTAACTCGTTCTGTTGGCAACCTATTTGTGCTACGGAAAATCGAAATTAAAGCAGGAGAGTCGTCACCTGCGCATGCGTCAGATGGCCATAGCGCGTCATTGTTTACAAACAAGTATATACCCAATAGCCTTTGCGTGTTTGGCGTGTGTTGTTATCATCGTTTGGGACTCAATTCTCGAGGAATTAATGAGGAGACAGAATCTACAAACATCGCGAAGGCGGGCATCTGTGACGCATCGAACAAACAACGACAAGCATAAGATCGTGCGGTGGCGGAGATATATTCGTAGAAATAAAACTCTGCGCCGGAGATTGGAGGCAGCAGTCAGGAAACCCCCTGTTATGGTAACGCTGTGTCGTCATAGAATCGCTTCGTCGCTAGGGGCGTGACTTTTTGCGATGGTGTATTGTGTGGTATTGATATAGAAAACATTCAGACTTACGGTCAAATACGTGATTTCGAATTCCACAATCTAAACAATCTGTTCCATAGTA